AAGTGAGAGTAATAGCCAATCAGAAGTGAGAATAATAGCCAATCAGGAGTGAAGGAAACAACCAATCAGAAGTGAGCTCAGGGAACCAATAGAATTTTAAGGGTAAGTAAGCCGTTTCAGAGGCAAAAAGCGAGATAGAGCCTCTGGGCCAGGGAACCCATGGTGCCAGCAGGAGAGCAGTGGCCCTGCTTGGGGGGTCCTGCCAGTCTTCTTATGGGGCTTCCCGCCTCACTCGCACGTAAAGGTTATTCCTCACTTTTAATATCTGTGTAACATTCCACAGTCCTGTAAGTTACTTAGTTGGTCTTGTCTTGATGGTCATACAGTTCCTTTCCAGGGTTTGCTAGTACTGCTGCGAAGAGCAGCGGTGTGCCTGCGCGTGTATGTGTGCGTGCGTGTGTGCGTACGTGTGCACTTGCATGTGTGCGTGTGCATGCGTGTACGTGCGTGTGCGTGTCTGGGGGGCGGCACACTTTCTGTAGAGGGCCATAGAGGTTACATCTGAGACTCACGGGCCCTGCAGCCGGTCACAGCTCGGCATGGCCGCTGCAGCGGGAAGCAGCTGCAGGTCACACGTGCATGAACAGCAGGACTGGGTTCCAGTGAAATTTTATTTAGGAAAAAGGCTGCTGACAAGCTCTGGCCAGTGGGACGCAGCCTGCAGGACCCTGAGGAGACACATTCTGCGAAGAACACGTGCATGGTCAGAAATGTAAATTCGCACGTATGTATGAGTGTCTGACTCGGATACGTTGGGTTTTCTCCGCACCCCGCCCCTTGTGCTCACTGATTCAGGCCGTGCAAAGACGCACAAAGCTCGCACAAAAGAGAAATTCAGCGACGTGTGGTTCAGAGAATCGCAGACCAGGGTTCACGTTTACCTTGACGGGGAAACTCCCACAGACAGCGTGAAGGCATGAAGCTCCTTTCTGCTTCTAGAAGAGCTCGGAGACAGCCACGGACGGTGATCCTCGCAGGACCGCAAGGGGCTGGGAGGACCTCCTACCTGGTGAAGCTGCCGCTGGCCTGGGCGGAGCGCAGCCTCTTCCGGGGCAGGTTCTCCTACGTCTTCTGCTGCTGTTGCCGGGAGGGGGCGCCGCTCGCAGCCACCAGCCTGGCCGGCTGACCTCGAGAGGCCGGCTTCCACCGCCTGCGCGACGGCACTGCTGTTTCCCCGCTGAGAGAGAGGAAGCGCACACGGGAGTTTTCTGGGGCGTTTCCCGTTTGGGCTTTTCCGTGAAGAGGAGCAAGGAAGGCTGAGTGCGCTTTCTGGCGCCCTCCTGTCCCGGGCGACACAGCAGAAACGCCGCCAGGCCTTGCGGCGCGTGGCTGAGAGCGAGCGCCTCCGCGACGGGCGGACTGCTTGGCGTTGCGCTCCTGCCTGTACGAGATGCGGGCGGAGGCTTTGCCCGGCGGGCCAGGCCTCCTCCCCAGACCCTGACTTTTCCATCGTGAATGATGCCGACTTGGCGGTTTCTGCTTGCTGCTTGAAACGCTGTTCTGGCTTGAGGACGCTTCGCTTTTCTGCCCCAGATGTCTTCAGAGAAGAGACTGCAAAAAGCTCCATGTGAGTCCGTCCGCTGATGCTCTGTCTGTGGCCTCGTCAGCCTCTGTCCGCATCCGCAGCAGGCTCTGCCGATGGGGGTTCTGACACCGGCTGCTGGTTAGGAGCTCACCGTTTCCGGCGAACAGAACTCGGCTCAAGTTCTGGCGTGCATTTTACGAACTGTGTCACCCTGTCCGTGGGACTTCTTCCCGTTCTTCATTGAATTTGCCTCATTGTAAAAAGGGCAGTAAGTTACCTACCACACTGCGAGGTGTTGTGAAGCCTGACTATGAGAATCCACGCGAAGTGTGCTCGCTACACCCCTCAGGTATTACCCACTGTGTGCTTGTAATTAGTATTTGTGCCATTCCCATAGGACCACACTCAGATTCTTTCTCGACTTCCCAGCTAAAAGTTACCTCTTAAAAAATGTATTCTAAAATTCTTACAGATTTTAACTCGCTTAGTGCTCATAAAACATCGCTATTATCGTCACGTTACAGGTGAAGAGACTGCGGCAAAGGGACCGTGTACGCTGCCCAGGTTAGGAAGCGGTGAAGGGCAGGTCTGAGCCCAAGCAATCTTACCCAAGACTTGCTACGCCGGATCACCCCAAGTTTCACTGTAAAACCTCCTGCATGTAAGGCAAGGTTTCTCAGCCTTCGCCCCATTGACATTTGGGGATGAAAAATCCTTTGGTGCATGGGGCTGTTCTGTCCTTTCAATTTTTGCAGCATCCCTGGCCTCTATCCACTAGACGCTGTAAGTACCCCTTCCCCGAGTTGTTGCATCCCAAAATGTCTCCAAATATTGCCCAATGTCCCACAGGCACAGGGACACACCGCCCCTGGTTGAGAATCACAAATGGTAGGTGAAGATGACCTTGACCTCCCTGACTAAGGCGTCAAGTGTCTCATGTTCAGGAAGATACTGTGTTATGATGAAATGCTGTGAATGGCTTGGGGCGACTGTTCATCCGTGGAAAGCATTTCCTTTCTCCTTCCTTACAGGCCAAATTCCAGTTTCATCCGCTGGCATCATGTCTGTTCTGTGCTCACTACAAATGAGAACCTCAGAGAGCTCTGAGTGAGTGACAGTCACCTCCATGGGGTGGCCTTTGTGATTCTGTGTAATCAGCTCAGACATCCCAGCTGTCACCTTCAAAAGCTTCAGTAAGTTGGAGATGCACTTGGACTCGAGTCTATTGTGGACCTAAATTAGTCTCACCTCTAGCTTTGGGGCGAGGCCAACTGCTGGAGCAAAGAATTGCAGTCCAGAGCAGACTCCATGTGCCCGCCTCTCTTGCTGTCTCATCTTTGCCCCTATTCCTCACAGTAAAGTGGGTTTCTCAAGGTCACAAAGCTATGAAAGGGCAAAGCTGGCTCTGAGCTTAAAGCTCACCAATTGCGGAACTTCTCCTGGGGGTTCCCACACCTGCCGCTTCCTTCAATGCCTGAGCAGCATTATGTCAGCCAATCCTTGAGGGCCAGTTGGGTGTCAGACTTTGTACTAAACCCCAAGAATAAAATGGGGTTTGGAGTTATAGTCCTGACCTCAGGGAACACATGATCGAGGATGGCATGGTTGGTTTCCTGTTTCCTCATCATAAAATGTATGGACACTTCTCAGTGGAAAGTGGACGTGAAAGGAATGGGAGAAAACCTGACTCTGGCTGCCTGCAAAGTCACCCTAGTCTGGGACCTTCAAGCGCCCTCTTACGCGATGTGACGCTGAAGGATTGCAGAGGGAGGGAGGGGTACGCAAGAGCAGCGCTCATCTGAGATGCGGCGCCGCCGTCCCCACCATGCGTACTCCGCACCATGGTGCGCTGTCTTCCAGATAAGGGCGTTAGGGCCAAGGCTCCCTGGCATCTGAACATGGGATGTGTCTCCGGGCAATAAAATGCAGGCAGAAGTGCCACTTCTACGGCACAGCTTTCAGAAGAGACGGGGGTCGCTACGCATGCATTCCCCCCATTTACTGGCTAAACGCTGACGCCACAGACAGAGGGAGCCTGGGTCTGTGACTGTGAGGGGGAGGGCTTGCCACAATCTCGTGTCATTAGGATGGAAATACTGCTTCCTCGGGTCTGGGGTGGGGCCTGAGAGTCTGCCTTTCTAGCCAGTTCCCGGGTGGTCTGTCCAGGAAACATGCTTTGAGAAGCACTGATGTAGAGCAGTGACTCCTTAATATTATCAGCATGTTAAAAAATCAGCTGAGGACCTGTATAAAGTTCTTAAGCCCAGGTCAAGCCCCAGACCAATTTGTCAGGATACTCCATGCTATTTCAAAGCACCGCCAACACATAGAACCACTGTCTTAAAGGAAACCCTGCCGCCCCCAGTGTCAGTAAGACCCGCATTAAACCAGCACACGAGGGAAAAGACAAACCTTGAGTCAATCTCCTTAAGTTTGGGAGTGTGTCACACTGGACAGTATTAGCCGGGGTGTCCCAGCCTCTGCACTGTTGGCGTTTGGGGCTGGATAATTCTTCATGGTGGGCGCTGTCCTGCGATGTTCGATAGTGTCACTGGCCTGTACACCCTAGGTGCCAGGATCTCAGCCCCTAGTCTGACAAGCGTCTCCAGCGCTGGGTGATTTTGCCCCCACAGGGGCTGGCTGGAAGGCTGGGAACCACTGGGCTACGTACAGGGGTTGTGAAGTGAGCGTGGCGGTTAATGACAGTCGCAGGACACAGGCAGAGACGGTGCTCGGGCTGTGTTCTCGGGTTTGGTGGGATGACACCTGTCTACGATTTTCTCTGCTTTCACAGTATGGATAATGTCTTCTTTCCCTGTGAGAGCTGGCTTTTCTTCGACGTGCTCACGCGCAGCCCGCACTTGAGAACCCGGAGCCTCAGCGGCGCAGCGCTGTCCTGGGAAGACGTGAAGCTGCTCTGTGAAGCCTTGCGCGCCGACGTGCAGCCTAGAGGAGCTCCCGTAAGTCTCCGCGTTCACCAGCAGCGCTGACTTGGCTTCAGAAAGGACTGTGCGTCCTTCTATCTGCCCACTTTTATCCTGTTTCCTGTCCTCCAGAGGCAAACGTAACCCCCTCTGAACTTGAGGCTAGAATATGGGAGTTAAAGTTTCTAAATCGGTAAAACCGATTTGGAAGACAATTGGCCTGTATTCGGCCTTCACAGCATCTGGTATTCTGTGTAGCCTAGAAATTCCACTTTGAGGTGTACATTCAACAGAACCGCATGCGTACGCTTGCTGAAAGATGGGTACTAAAACGTCCGCGGCAAGTACTCACAGTACCTGAAAAACGGAAATACCGACTAACAGCAAGTCAGGTAAGAGAACTGTGGTTAGAGTCTCGCTTCCTGGGAGTGGACCTGCAGCCGTACACAGCCATCTGGGTGAATCTCACAGACCTTCCTGAAGAAAAGGAACCAGTCTTAAGAGAATATCGTATGGTTTTGTTTATGTAAAGTTCAAAGGTGGGCAAGACGATGGCATTAGAGGTTAAGAAAGTGATAGCTGCGAGCGGGTGGGGCCCTGTGGTGTGGCCAGGGCCGCGTCTCCTCGGCCCGCACCCCTGCAGCCCCCCGCCCAGGGCGCCAGTAAAGGTCCTCTCGATTGCCAGGTGCGCCTCGCTGGGCTGATCAGCTGACCGGAGAACAGATCGCTGAATTCAAGGAAGCTTTCTCCCTATTTGACAAAGGTGGCCAACGGCACCATCCCAACAGAGGAACTTGGAACCATCATGAGGTCACTGGTCAGAACCCAACAGAAGCCGAACTGCAGGATACGATCAACGAAGTGGGCCCTGGTGGTAAGGGCACCACTGACTTCCCAGAATTTCTGACTGTTGGCCAGAAAAACAAAAGACACGGACAGTAAAGAAGAAATGCATGAGGGATTCCAATTCCGATAAGGGTGGCGGTGGCTACACCAGCGCTGCAGAGCTGCATCACGGCGCGACCAACTGGGGAGAAAAACTAGCCAAGGAGGAAGCAGGTGAGATGATCAGAGAAGCGGATGTTGGTGGAGATGGACACGTCAGCTGCAAAGAATTCGTGCCGATGATGACTGCAAAGTGGGGAGCTGCCTTCACCTCCTGTCCCCCTCTAGAAGAAGCACATGGAATCTTTTCCTTACCTCTTGCCAAAAAAGGAAAAAAGAAAAGAAAAAGAAAGCAAGAATAGGAAGTGACGGACACGCAACCTGGACCCTGGTTACACAAGGGCGTTCAACCCGTAGGAACTCATCAGCCAACACTTCGGGTTTGTGCACTTTCTTGTACGTAGCGACACGTCTAGATTACTTTTTTCCAATCCAGTAAGGATTCCTTAATACTTGTCCTCTCTTCACCATCTTTTGTGCACACATATTCAAATATTTCTCCGTTCAACTCATCTGTCATTCTCTGAGCTTCAGTCAAACACACAATGATGCAAACCTGCCATTTTAGTAATAGCTTTATAAAGACATAAGCCACATACGAAACTCACCCTTTTAAAGCATACAGTTTAGTGGTCTGCGTGTGTATTCATAACAACGTGCAACCATCACAACTATGCGATTTTAGAACATTTTGATCACTCCAGAAAGAAACCTCACGCCCATTAGCACTCGCCCGCATCCCCGTCTCCCTGGACACCACTAACACGTTCAGTCTCGGTGGATTTACCTGTCCTGGCGTCCCATATGAACTGAGTCATACAACATGCGGTCTTTTGTGAGTGGCTTCTTTCACTTAGTAAAAAGTCACCTAAGGGGTAAAGGAGTCGGGCGGGGGCTGAGTTTGGAGAACAGCAAACACGCATGAATACCTTAAGAGTAACACCTGATGTGGGTCAAGCAACCGAAAACAACCAGTATGGCCGTGTCTGGGACACAAGGACCTAGGAACTTGTAGACCAGGTGATGTATTCTGAGCTTTTTCCCTGAACGCTGTGAGAAGTCCCTGGGTGAGTTTAAGGCAGGTACAAATAATAATGGAGTTCTTACGTGTCTCAAGCCGTCTCTTGTTGTGGTCTGGAGAACGGGTGATGGGGATAAAGAACACAGCGGGGCACCAGTGAGGCTCTCAAGCAAACCCGTGCTTCCTGACTCAGAGGATTGGCGAGGAGAACGGATCAGGGAAACAGGAAGCAGTGGAATGTGACAGCTTCTGTCTCCTGCAGGGTGGCAAGGTGCTGCCTCTCAGTTGATGACTGTAGAGACTTCAACAGGATCTTACAGACCAGCAGGAAGCTGAAGCAGCTGAACGTGTCCTACAACTGCTTGGACAAAGGCGTGCCCGTGCTGTGCGAGGCCCTGTGTCACCCGGACTGCGCTCTGGCGGTCTTGGAGTAAGTGAACACTGGGAGGGGCCCCGGTGGGGGACCAAGGCAGCAAGCAGTCTGAACTCTGGCCTGTTGACTAAAACCTATGTATTGACGGACGCCGCAGAGCAGAGACTTTTAAAGTGTAAGCCTACGAGTCAGAAGGATTTGGGTCCCACTGCTGGATTTGCCACTTGCACACCGTCATCTTGGGCAAACCACTTAAACTCTGTCAGCTTTAATTTGCTCTCTGTAAACAGAGGGAGGGTGAGAATTCTGCCCTAGAGGCCTTGAGGAAGTTGAGGTTGTACAGAGCACCTGTCGGCACACACGAGGCACGTGCTATGGTTCCGCAGGTGGTGGTGGTGGGGTAACGTGCCTACGACGCGCACGGGTACTTCCCGTGGCGGCGGCGCTCGCTGACTGTAACGTGGGGTTCGGTGAGCTCTGTCGTACCGCTTCCCTCTTCCCCCACGCGTGTGTCCCCACAGCTTAGTTTACTGCAGCCTCAGTGAACGTTGCTGGGAAAAGCTCTATGAAGTTCTTCTGTTTAACAGACGCTTGACCCACCTGGACCTCACGTCAAATGTCCTGAAGTTTGAGGAACTGCAACTTCTCTGCAAGGCCCTGAAGCAGCCAGGCTGCCCCCTGCAGTCGCTGTGGTCGGCGTCTCTGAGGTCTGCTTTGAAGGCCACGCCTCCATCCCAGGGGCCTGGCTGGCCGGGAAGGCAGCAGGAACTGAGGAAGGCCGTGCAGGCTGAGAAGCACAGCTGACCCTTGAACAGGGCACTGTGGATTAATCTGCATATAAATTACAGTCTGCCCTTCGCATCCACGGTTCCCCCACATCCACAGATCCGACCACCACAGACCGCGCGGGGCTGTGGTACTTACTGCGGAAAATGCCCACGTGCAGCTCAGGTCCACGTTGTTGGAGGGTCCCCGGTACGCGACTCAGATTCTTGGCGCGATGTTCAAGTGAACAAACCTGTACCTCGACTCCTGTGTCACAGAGTTAATACGTTGTAAGGCGTCATTCAGCAGGTGCACCTAAGGGCTGAGGGAGAAAGAGAGGAGTTCGGCTGGGCCTGAGGGACGGGTTTATGGCTAGATGGCTGGCATGGGTTCTACAAGACACATGAGTTTTGTCAGGCGGAGAAGGAGAACTGAAACTCCAGGTATAAAGGCTAAACGTGGGGATGGGGCATCTGATGACCTATGTGGGAGTTAACGTGGGTAGAAGAAGGGACGCTCTAGGAGGAATCAGGGCAGGGAGAGAGTAGTTGGAAAGGAGACAATGAAAAGACTCCATTTCAGGTTATAAAACTGAGAAACATGTGGGTAACCTGGTGGTGGTGTTTTGGATTTATCATTTCATCACCAGATGTCTCTTTCTCTGGAAATCAGGAGACTCTGGGGATTCAGCAGTTATTTTACCTAACCCACCAACAAACCTCAGAGTTTAGAGCTTCGCATTCCTTGCATGGGGAGTGTGACGGAACGTGAGAAAAGAGCCGGACACAGTCCTGATCTTGTCACAGTGGGTCAGGCCACCCAGCTCAGTCCTTGAACTGGAAGCCACTAAAAATATCAGACATGATTCTTTAACATTCAAAGCACCTGGAACTCAGCTAGAAGTAGTCTGTGAAGCAGAATAAATGTAGGCCACTTGAGGCTGCCCAAAAATCCTTGAGAGAGGTTTTTTAAAATAACCTTAAATGAGCACTGCCCGTAGACACCCAGAAGACAACTGCACGCCTTCCCCGGAGGCAGAAGGTAGGAAAACAGGATCCTGGGCCTCAACTTATTCCTACGATGATCTTTCAAAGTCAAGAAACACCATGTAGTTAAAATAACACAAAGCATTATGTACAAGAATAAGCCAGAACAAACACACCTTGCAAACTTCAGAAATTACAGTGACCAGACTTATGTATATATAACGGGTCACTGCACCTGAGACTAGCACAACACTGTAAATCAATTATGCGGCCATGAATTTTTTTAAAGAAAATAAAACAAATTATGCTTGCTATGTTTAAAGAAAAATAACACGTTTAAATACCTTAAGGGAAAAAAAGCCATAAAATAAAATCAGCAAATTGAGAAAAATAATAAAATAGGAATTATAAATATAAGAGCAAAACCTTGGGTTGAACAGTAGACGAGACAGAATTAAAGAGAAAATTAGTAAAGCAGAAGGTAGGTCCTAACTACGCAGAAGGCAGAATGAAGAGAGAAAAAGATGTGAAGCAGAGGAGGGTATGAGACCTGCAGGACAGAACAAGATGTTCTAATGCATTTAATGAGAATCCCAGAAAGAGAAAATATTTGAAGAAGTAATGGCTAAAAATTTTCCAGAGCTGATGAAAGATTCCAATCCACAGATCCAAGCATCCTTACTTGCCCCTCGTACGACACATAATGGTGAAACTTCAGATCGCCAGATATAAAAATACTGATCTTAAAATATCCATGATGGTGTGGAGGGCTGGGAGGAAGCCGTCATGTCTGAAGAGAGGACAGAAATCGTCGAATGAAGACTAACAGTGGAACCCAGAGGGCAGTGCCATGAGACCTTCATAGGCTGGGGAGCAACGGGCAGCCTAGAATTTTATAACCACCCAAAATCATCAAGAATGAGGACAAAAGCATATTTTCCAAAAAATAAAAACTAAGTTCCCCACCATCAGATCGTCACTCGGGGCAATTCTAACGGACGTCTCTCAAAGGGACGTGAACAATTGCAGCTGGAAAAGACGCTGAGCAAAGAAAGTGTAGATAAATCCACACAAAACACGGGCTGCTTACAAAAAATAATACTGCCTGTATGTAAAGGATTCAAAGGCAAGAACAAAATGTAGAGCAGCAATAACAGTATGAATGAATGTCCTAAAGTCCAGAAAGAGGCTGAAGGTGTTGATCGACTTGAGATGCTGACAGGTCAAATGTGCATATCGACGCTTCTAACATCCACATTAGAAGAAAACCAGGCGGTATTGCTAACTCCAAATTCAGCAAAAGAGAAGATGGAATTCTGTACACATATAAAATCCAAATAAAGGAGCAGGTATGAAAATATAAACACAATAGGACAGATTTAAAATCAAACACATCAGTAATTGTTTGAAACAGAAAAAAGATCAAGAGTTCCAGCTAAAAGACCAAGATTGTCATGCTGGATTTTTTTTTAAACTAATGTTTATAAATGACATTAAAATGTAAAGAATTTGTGGTTGCACATTGTAAATGGAGTAAATGTCACTGAGTTGTTCACTATAAATGATTAATTCTGTTATGCAAATTACACCTCCATTTAAACAAAAAACCAGACAAGAGGTGAAAGGTTGGAAAAAATTTACAGTGCAAATATTAATCTAAAGAAAGTTTATGCAGCTACATTAATCAGACAAAATAGAGTTTGAGGCAAAAAGTATCACTGACGCGTCACTGGGACTGTGGTATTTATCACCCTACTCAAGTGAACTCTAATTCTCACGAGGTGAACGCCACTCCAGTTGCCCCGCGGGCAACACGGGGCGAGGGGCGCCGAGCCTCCACGCGGTCAAAGCCCGACGTCCGGTTTTCCGGTCGCCCTCCTGCAGCTCTGCGTCCCCCGCCTGGCTCCCAGGCCCAGCCGCCCTCAGACCGGGCAGCGGCGCCGGGGGAAGCCGTGCGTAAAGCGGGCCCACGCAGCTCAAACCCACGTTGCTGAAGGGCCGGCTGCGCTTCCCACGCAGCCGCCCTGAACCAGAGAGGAAGTCATAACGGAAAGTGGGAGACACATCGAAGTGGAAAAGGGCACACCTCACCACGGACTCAAGGCGTGGGGCTGAAGTCCGTGCGGCTGCTAGAAAAACAGACACTGAAGGACAGTGGGGTACTTACCAGCCTTAAGAAACATTTTAAAATGGCAAAGACAATCCCAGAGAAGGACGGAAGGAAACAAAAAACGAGAGCAGCAATTAATGAAACCAAGCAAACACACGCTAGAAACGATCAAAAGGCTGAAAGCTGTTTCCTTAGAAAGACAAACACCTACCTTGTATCCGTGCTTTGAAAAGACTAACGAAGCCACGTGTGTAAAGTCAACTTCCCAGTGGCCACGGGTTTTTGAACTAAACAGGGGGAATTAATTTTAATAGTTAAATTTATGTAACTACATATCAAATATCCCTTCGACGTGTGATCAATGTAAAAATGAGTAAAGAGACATTTTACATTTTCGTACTCTTTGAAATCTGGTGTGCGTTTCCTACCACAGCTCGCCTTGCTCCAGGCAAGCTGCGCCTCAAACGCCCAGCGGCCACACGGCGCTGCGGGCGACCGCACGGGACAGCATGGCTCTGCGTCATGAATGGGAAAACAAATGTTACCACAGATGCTACAGATGTTAAAAAGATGACATGATGAGCAACTGCATACAGCAAACCTGAAAATTGAGGGTTTTTTCCCAGAACTCATTAAGTTTTTAAAATAATGTCTTATCCAAACTTAAGAAAAAATAGTTTTAAACCATTAAAGAAATTAGATCAGTAGTCAAATATTTTCATTAAAAAAAGCCTCCAAGCTCAGAAGTCTTCATCAGTGACTGCTACCAGATACTCAAGGGGGAAATCATTCCCGTCTTAAATTCTTTCACGTTGAGGAGGGTAGGAAGCACTCCGCACCGCCTCCTGAGGCCAGCATAATTCTGATACCAGAAACCAACAACGTAGGAAAGAAAAGCAATAGGCCAACGGCAGTCATGAAATTAAAAAAAAAACACTGAACATATATAAGCAAACAGAATTCAGGAATGTATTTTCAAAAATAAACATAATGACCAAGTTGAGCCAGTTAATCCTAAGAAGTAAAGCTGCTTCAGAATTAAAAAGATCAGTGTAATTCACCATCATAACTGATTAAAAATAAAAATCACTGTCATCCGAAACACAGAAAGGCTCTGAACTAAAACACAATATCCACGTTTTATAACAAGTCTTGGAAACTTAGTAATTGAGAACTTCCTCGAACCAATAAGGAACGTGTTCAAAAACTCTAAAGCAAATATTTATTTAATGATGAAGAGATAAAAGCCTTCTCTTCTGTGTCAAGAAACAGGGAAGAATGCTGGCTGTAATCACTCCTATAAATCGTAGCAAGGGCAGTAAAGCCAGAGGAAGAAAGTATAAAACACGTAATCCTTAAAAGCAGAATGCGAAGGAAGAGATACCTATTTCCAAGCAGTGTATATAGAAACTGTTTTTACCCTGTAGCTCAGTTATCAGGATTGAGTCTAACAAGCTTCCTCCAAACAGTATACAAAAAACATTTCCTACAGACCAAAAAGAAAAATAAACTGATGGAATTATAGCACCGTTTACAGTAGCATCGAAAAGGAATTGGCAAAACAAAAAGACTGAAAAAGAAATCACCTAGGAATAAAGCTAATATGACCCCTGTTACACATTCGCAGTGAACATCATCCAATGACAGTTAATACAGGACAGGGGCGAGGCAGCCCGTGTTCAAGGCCTGAAATGCTCAGTCTGCTAAGACGCCAACTCTCCACACATCGAGTTTAGTTTCAGCAAAATGCCAACTGAAATGAAATGTTTTGTTGTGTTACCCTTGAAAAGTGGGTTTCAAAATGTGTATGGAATTTGCAAAGGGTCAAGAATACCTTAAATGCCTAAGAAGAAAAGGTAGGACGCTTTGCTCTAAACATATGAAAAGATTGTAAAGTTACAGAAATGAGAGTCACGTGGAAATAGATCAAAGCCAGAGAAGAGAGAGCCCACATGCAGACACATCCATGTGTGTTCAGACGTTGCACTGCGGACAGTCTGGCACAGGCGGTGTAGGGAAAGGGCGCACCTTCAGCAGACGATGCCAGGACGGCTGATGACCTACCCCTCTGGATGACAGAGTGTAGTGCTTTGCCATCTTTCCTTCCCTGATAGCCAACAAAAACGTAGTAACGTGGTAACACTACTATTTCCTTGCAGGGTGTTGCAATGTCTTACCACTGCCGATGGCTGTCGAGAGCTTGCCTCAGTCCTTAACGTCAATCAAAACCTGGCAATTTGCAAATTGGGTGCAATGATATAGAAGATGTTGGCGTGAAGCTGTTGTGCAAGGGTCTGACACATCCCAGCTGTCATGTAGAGACACTTGGGTGGGTATCCTCCAAGCCATGGCTGTGTCCTCCTGGGTGGCAAAAGATGGAGGGTGGATGGGGAGAAAGAGGAAAAGGAAGACCCCGCCAGGGACAGGGAGCAGTTAGCTGCCGTGGCGTAACACTCTGTTCCAAAACGTAGAAGCTTCAATCAGTGGGCACGTCCCACTGGTGGCTGGCTCTGCTGCTCTCTGACTGGTGTGCTCAGAAGCCTGTGGTTTCCTGGGTCGATCTGGGCGGGCCTCACCACCAAGTCCGGAGGTCGGGCAGCGCTCTGTGAGCTGGAGAACACATCTGAGCCGCACATCTCTGGCATCCAGCTGGGCAGCCGGGGCTTGCAGACGCGGCATCTGTACCAGTTTGGTGGAGCTGCCTTAACAAAGGCCCACAAACGGGGGGCGTAAGGAGCAGAAATGTACTTCCTCACTGTTCTAGAGGCTAGAATTCCGAGCGCAGGCTGTCAGCAGGGCTGGTTCCTCCTAAGGTCTCTCTCCTCGGCTTGCAGACACCTGTCTTCTCCCCGTGTCCTCACACGGTCTTCCCTCTGTGTGTCCAAATCCCCTCTTCTTGGAAGGGAGCCAGCCGCACTGGATTCGGCCCCATCCTAACGACTTCATTTTAGCTTGACTGGCCCTGTAAAGGCCTTAAGGCCAAACGTGGCTGCATTTTGAGGTGCAGAGGGTTAGGGCTGTAACAGGAATTTTTGGAGGGACACAGCCTGTAACAGCTCCTCAGGGGTTCCAGAGAGCAAGAAATGCGCGTGCTGTCAGCTCAGATCTCTCGTAACCCGGCTCCCACTGGGTCGTCTAAGCCAATGCAAACCATAGGTCCCAGCCAGACCCAGAGGGCAGTGGGGAAACAGACCCTAACCTCTTGTGGAATGAGCTGCGGGGTCACAACGCCACAGGCTCAGAAGGGAATGGACAATCGTGGCCATTTGTACCATCTGCCACGGAGCAGCAATCTGATGTCAAAAATGCTGGGCTGTAAGCTGCTGTCCTCAGGGGCTGTGGGGTGAGCCTTGGCTAGATGGCCAGCTCGCGCTCCAGCCCAGTGCCACCCGCCTCACCCCGAGGGCAGGGCGGCCGCTCACCGTGTGTCTTCTCTCGCAGGCTGGGCTACTGCAAGTTAACCAGCGCCTGCTGCCAGGACCTCGCTTCTGTTCTCACCAGCAGTAAAACTCTGAGGATCCTGAACCTGGGTGGAAACCCCTTGGACCTCAGTGGGGTGGTGGTGCTGTGTGAGGCCTGAGACACCCCGAGTGCACCCTGCAGGTTCTCGGGTGAGTGGACGCCTGCTCCCCTCGAGTGGGGCCGTCCCGGGACTGAGGAGGGACTGACTGGGGCCCGAGGTGTGACCTACAACCGTCTACTGCATTCAAAATGCAAGTAATGTTCCCTGTCCGGGAACCCCTGCACAGCAGCTGACTGGGAAATGCTGGGCCCCCATAAACGCTGGCACTGGTGCTGCCACAACCACATTATGACCTAAGTTTAATACGCGCATATGTATAACTACGAAGGTAGATTATCATCACGTTTAGCATAGTTTATGTTTATACTAAAGTTATTACATATTAAAATAAAAATTTAAATCTCAATAAACTGGAAGAAAAAAATTTACTATAATAAATTATAATTAGGCTTATAAACTATATAATTATATATTTCTATTATATAATATATAATTATTTTATAACTATATATAATTACACATAATTATATTTATGTATATATTTGTACATAAATATAATGTATATAATATAAAATCTAATATAATAAAATCTAATAACATGTAATTAATAAAATATATAATGTGTAATTTTTATTACAATTATATTTATTACAGGCTTATATAATTTAAGTCTGTAAGTAGGTATAATTTGTAACATAATTATATGTGTTATACATTCATTATATAGTATATATTATATATAATTATACATATAATTATATGCATAATTTCTATGATGTTTATTACAGGTTTATATAAGTATGTAATTTGTAATATAATTATATGTATAATATACATT